AAACAACGGAGGGAAAAGCCAATGCAGAATCAGCCCCTGTAGGGTTCTCAGGGCAAGACACAAACAGGGGTTGTTTGCTATTGCCTGCTTCTGTATGGGGACCCTCGACTTCCTTGGTGGTCCCCCATCCAGGCCCATTGAAGTGACCTGTATGAGTTGACTTTAGACCGGGGGTCTCACAACCTTTTTGAGCCTGTGGGTGTTTTGGAATTCTAACACAGGGCGGTGGGCGCAACCACAAAATGGCTGCCACCAAAGGCAGAGCCAGCCGCAGGAAGTGAAGCCAGCCGCAAAATGTCAGGGAGCGAGGTGGTGCATAACAAACAGGGAGCGAGGTGGTGCATAACAAACTAGTAAGACTTTTACCATTTCAGGCAGAAGCTCCGGTTAACAGGATGCCTTTTCAAATGAACCTAGTGTTGAAAAATACTTTCTTGCATACACACAAAGTAAGCATACATACTGAGCTGGTTAGAAACCCTCATCTGGCAGTATCTGTCTTCACTTCTCAGCAACCTGACCTGGCTATCTGCTACACACGAGCTGGGCAAAAGCCACACCAATGCCTCCCACTTCCTAAAGACACTTGCTGGGTGCCAGGAAAGATGGCGGTGGGTATCATGGCTCCCATGGGCACCATGTTGGGGACTCCTGCTCTTAGGCTTGCCAAGTCCATCTTCCACCCCCAGCGGGGGACTTTGGGAGCTTTCCTGGAGGGGACGGGGCATCTCCAACGTGATGATGTCACGTTGGGGACGTCCCCCCCCCCCGCGCTGGATCTCCAGAAATGGCAGTTCCCTGCACTTAAAGAAGCCGGCGTTTCCCCTTTAAGAGCAGCCGCGTTCCCTTTTAAGTGCACAAAGCTGGCATTTCCCTGCAAGCCTGATCTCAAGCGGAGATCTGGCTTGGGAGGAAAGACGTGCTTGGGAGGAAACACGGGTTCCACACACTTAAAGGGAGAGAGAGGGGTGGCTGTGGGTGTTGGGGGTGGGGCTTCCCCCACTGGCCATCTGGCCGTCAGCGGGTAGAACCCCCCCCAAACCGGGGGACCCCTGGCAAACCAGGGGGGGGGTTTGGCAACCCTACCTGCTCTAGATTGTCCAGGGGCGGAGGGCAAAGCCCCATGCTCTGGTGTTTCAGGAGGCAAGGTTAGAGTTTTAAAAAAAGGTTCCAGGAGGGCAGATTTCTTGTGAATAGCAGGGGAAACCACTTGATGGTGAGAGCAGTTTGCCAAGGGGACCAGTAAGCCAGAATGTGGTGGGGTGTCTATTTGGAAAGTTCTGGTTTAGGATTTGCTACGCTGACTGGGGGGGGGGGCTGCTTCATAAGCCACCTTCTGACTCTGAGACGAGGGTGCGTTCAGACGGGGCGTTTCTGCCTGCATAAACGCGATCAGACTCACCCTCCATTTTGCGAATCCCTCCGTTGGACGCCCGCTCACACGCTGCGGGCGTCGGCGATTTTTTTTTTTAAGCAGTTTGAGCATGCGCACAGGCAGCCATTCAGAGAATGGTGATTTTTTGCGCATGCTCAACCCCCCCCTTACATTTAAACTTTACCATCCTCCGGGATGGTAAAGTAAGGGCTTTTTTAAACAAACAAACAAACAAACAAACGCTCAGGGCGAAGCTTTGCCTGAGCGCATATCGCTTAGTTTTTTAAAACTAAGCATTACAACGGTTAGGGACGGGAGGCAGATGTTCGCCGTCTGAACGCCCGTAAGTACACTGGTTGGAACCGGCACCCTAACCGTTGTAAATCCCCCGTCTGAACGCACCCTCTAACTTTCCACTAACTTACCAGGAACAGGCATTAGGCTAATCAGCCTGTAATTTCCTGGTTCCCTGGGTGTTCTTGTATTCCATCTTACTCCTGAAGCGGGTGAGTTAGTACAGTTTACTCAACTGATATTTAGGAAAGTTAAGCCCCCCCCCCACCCTTTTATTTAAAAAAAAGGCAGTGTTTAATTTATCGAGGACTGCATCTCAAAACACATCTAGCTATGTTTATTCTCTGGATGGGTGGCGAGGGGGCAAAGAGAGGAGAGGGAAGCCGTGTGTTTTGTCTTTAAATCGCCAAGGAATCAGCTCGGCTGCAGACCAGAGCTGGGCGCGTGATTTGATAGCAGAGAGGATTTGGCAATTCTGGTTCCAGCCAGGTTCAAGGCTGGATTCAGGGATCGACTTGACGTCCTGGGGTGGCAGACGTGAAGCCAATGCGGTGTAGCAGTTAGAGTGGGGGAGGCCTGGGTTCCGGTCCACCCCCTGCCACTAAGCTGTCTTTTGACTAAACTTACCTTGGACCAGGGATCATTTCCTGTAGGAGCGCACAGGAGCGGAGCTCCGGTAGTAAAGAGCCCAGGGGGCGGGCACATGCAACAAGCCCCACCCCCTGCTCCCAGCAGCCCTCAGTCAGAGCAAGAAGCAGACAGGTAAGTTGCAGGGCTCCCCCTGCCCCCCTGGTCCAAAACAGTCCAGTGGCACCTTTAAGACCAAGTTTTATTCAGGTACAAGCTCTCCCTCCTCTGCAAGGACAGATCTGCACGTCCCCCGCCCCAATAGCTAGCAGTCCAAAACAATCCAGCGGAGCCTGAGTGGTGGGTGTTGCCTTCTGACACACTTCCGGTGATGTCAGGGGGTGTGGCATATGCAAATGAGTTATGCTAATGAGCTCCTGCACCTCTTTTTCTACGAAATGACCCCTGCCTTGGACCAATCACACTCGTTATCTAGCCCACCTCACAGGCTTGCGGTGAGGATAAAATGGGGATGGGAGAACCACGCACTGAGCTCCTTGGAAGAATGGCAGGATGAAAATATGACTCCCAGCCTGCCAGGCTACGGGAGGGGCTGTCCCGTTCACACTCCTGAGTGGCTCGTCCGGTTCATTTTAACCTGCCACACTGACAGCCCCACCCTGTGTGGCTGGCAGTGACGTTCTGTTAGTGTGTGTTTGTTTTCTTCAGTTTGCAGGAGAATTTACACCACCGGGGCCTGTTCCAACCCAGAGTGATGGGAGAACCATAAGTATGGTTATTTTGAATGCATTCGTTTAAAGAGTTTCTGCCTGAAGTGTTGAAGAGTTACTGTGAGACTTATGCACTCCCGCACTCCCTGACATTTTGTAGTGGGCTCTGTCTCTTGTGGCAGCCAGGGGTCATTTCCTGCAGGAGTGGAGAGGAGTGGAGCTCTAGCCCAGGAGGTGGGCGCATGCAACAAGCCCCATCCTCTGCTCCCAGCAGCCCTCAGTCAGAGCAAGAAGCAGCCAGGTAAGCTGCAGAGCCCCCTGGTCCAAAACAGTCCAATGGCACCTTTAAGACCAAGTCTTATTCAGGTACAAGCTCTCCCTCCTCTGCAAGGACAGATCTGCATGTTCCCCCCGCCCGTAGCTAGCAATCCAAAACAGTCCAGTGGAGCCTAAGCGGTGGGTGTTGCCTTCTGACAAACTTCAGGTGATGTCAGGGTGTGTGGCATATGCAAATAAGTTAGGCTAATGAGTTATGCTAATGAGCTCCTGCACCTCTTTTTCTACGAAATGACCCCTGGTGGCAGCCATTTTGTAGTGGTGCCTGCCCACCACCCTGTGCCAGAATTCCAAAGGCTGGGGACCTCTCCTCTAGAAACCATTGGCCAAACATCTCAGCAATAGGAATGGGTTCAGACCATAGAGGGATCCGTTCCCCCGGAGACAGTGATGCTCTAGAGCAGGGGTGTCAAACTCATTTGTTATGAGGGCCAGATCTGACATAAATGAGACCTTGTTGGGCCAGGCCATGTGTATCATAAAGTGTAATGCCAGGTAGCAGAGATATAAACTTTATAAAGGACACAAACACAAAGGTTTTTTTTAACTTAAAATAAAAACATTGCTTAAAACATTAGCACTCTTGCAAAATTTATTTATTTAACAGTGTCTGATAACTGACACCTCTTGCTCTGCATTATTGCATCAAAACGTCTGTGCTGTTGCAGTCTTGAGTATGCTGTTCAGGTGTGTATCTGTAAACTGCAAACCTATGATGACGCAGCAGCAGAACTGGAA